AAAAAAAAAAAAAAAAAACCCAAAAAAGAAAATAGGAGAACAGTGAAGGGAAAAAAATTTAATGAATGAAAAAGAGGACTCCACACGGGCAATAGAGAGTCACTATTCATCCATCACACTGGAAGCGTCAGTAAATTAGACCAGTTCAGAAGGGTAATAGTAACGAGAGCGCAATAATAGTAGCCAACGGCGGCCATCCGTTCAACAATTGGATAGCGTTGAAGAGAAGCGGTCAGCAACATTGCATTGGGTCGAATAAGATGCATTAGCCATTCTTTTCTGGAAGATTCACCCGCCCTGGATGTGGTTCAATCGTTCAGTCGACATGTAATGTTAAGCCGGAGCAACTAGTGACTGTGACTGTAGCGGTGAAGTCAACTTTCTGGACGGAAAGCTCGGGATTTGGTGTTTTTATTGAGGCAACCCGAGACACAGACGGTCCATACTAGTCATACTTCTAATGACAACGGTAGTGATAGATGGGTGTAGCATCATCCTGCCTTGAATTGGCCCTGATCGACTAGTAATTCAGATCGCCACTTTTCTCTCGCTCTCGCCTCCCTTCTCAGCTCCATGGCACCCTGCATGCGGGCACACGCTAGAAACTGTCTATGGAGCACAGTGGAACTAGGAAACCGCTAGCGGGCACTCCTGATCCAGTAACTAAATTAGTCGCTCGTCTCTTTCTTTTTCATTCATTGCCCATAAGGCCATGTTTCTCTGCCTCGTGAAGCGTATCGCCGATTCTCCGGGGGGTTGGGGGGCTTGTAAACGACGATCCGATTCGGGTCTCCAACACCACGCGACCTATGAGGCCAGCAGCATCTCCGTTGCACTCGCGCCCGGAGCCGTTAACCTTCCTAGGAGGGAAATGAAGAAGAGGAAATTTTTAAAGTGTAACTAGCGGACCGTTATGGCATGATACACGAAAGGATTCATGATTGGGCATCACAGCTGTACTGGTACGTACGTACTCCGTAGTACTACTATGTTGTACTATTATACGGAGTTCCTGGTGGAGACATTGAAAAAAAGACCTCGCGGCTGTAGCCGGCCGACGAAAAATAACGGCGTCCAGTACGGTGTGATCAACCGAACTCAACCCTGGCCAATAGTAGAATACCCGATTGGTTATCCCTGGTCCGCATTTGCCGATGGGCTTCCACAGTACAGACGGAGTACACGGAGCTAGAGGAAGTCGACATGATAGATGCTGTTCCCCTGGCGTGGTGGAAGAAGCAAGTCGGAGCCCCCGCTCAGAGTATATGGGCAATTGCCGTCATTGGAATGGCGCTCCTCTCTATTTTTAATTTTCAGCGTTCTTTGTGTGTGTGTATGTGTGTGTCCCTATTAAGACCCCCCAGCTCAATAGGAAAACGAGAGACTCAATCATCTTTCGGAATCAAGGATGGCGCGCGTTGGCTTGCATGGACCGCTCCAAGGCTCCCTCCACGGCGAACTACAGGTAGAAATTCACCGACCACACAGATGAGAAATGGTGAACGCCCCAGATATCATGGAGAGCTGAAAGAGAAGAGAAGGTAAATGCAATAAGACCCGCTCCGTTAGGAAGAATGAAAGCTGGCATTCGATTTGCCCCAAGCCTGTGTAACAGTTTCTTTCCTGCTTGGTTTTGCCAGAAACAAAGGTGGTTGTGAGTACTATCTACTACGAGTAATACGTACGATGAAAAGCCGAGTCAGTGGTCTGCAGGAATCTCGTGAGCTGTTCGCTTCTTTCGACACCCCCTCCAAGAAATGATTGAGTACCGAGTGCCACGTTCCTTGCACCGGTATTACGAACTTGCATCTGGCGAAATACATGCCTGAGGTCGAAAATAAATAAAAATAGAAATAGAAATAAAAAAAAAAGAGGAAAAAGCAAAGAGCCAGAAGAACAGTTGGCAGTTAACGGACTTGCTTTGCTTGCCGTAGTACATACATACATAACATTTGCATTCCAAAGAAGGTGTGGCGTTGGGTCTAAGACGTTCTTTTCCTCAGACAATAGTTTAATTTTACTTGTACATGTTTGTTTTCTTTTTTGACAGTCCCTGGTCCTGTCATTATAGCTGTGGTCCTGAACTGAACGGTCCACACAGGAACAATAAAACCTGCACTCCTCTGTACACAACCTTGGGTAAGCCCTATTGCAGCTCGTCTACTGTTGATCATGAAGCAGATTGGCTCGTCACTTGTGACGTGCATAGAATTGAATATATATCCCGATGCCTGTAGTGGCCCCGCGGTACATGATCACGCATCTCAACATGGCAAGAGATCATCCGCATGCGGACCACCTCAGACCGCGAGTCACCACCGAAAAGGGGAATAGATGAACTCTTGGGAAGGCGCTCTATAGTTAGGAACAGGGATAGTGGTACAAAATGCAAGGTCGCTGCTGGCTCCCATCGTGGAATGACGAGATAGGAAGTCCATCCTGTGGGTATCCATCTGGATAGTCCCGTCTAGATTTCAAACTCAATCCCCAAATTCAAGCTTCAAAGAGTTGCCTCTCGCCCGAATGAGTAAAGTTCTCCTATTTGTTCCTACTTTGTTCAAGGGCCTCGATTTCCCCGGACCTCGATGGCCCCTGATGATTGGTTTTCGATCCTTCAATCACAACGGGACGCCAAATTGAAATAAGATCGACTCCGACAATGACTTGTCACCCCCATCCAACGCACCCGAACCAAGGTTCAAGACCGCCGCATAAGGCTTGCGCTTTAGCTGGGATTCTTCTCTCTGGGCAGCGCGCTTACGTCGCTATGATAATGCCGAGGGTCCGGCTCAACGGAGGGTATGGTAGGTGTCGCTTCTGGAAAGGCACTTAGGGCACAACTAGAACGGGAGCGGTGCATGACGGAGAAGGAAGGATCCGTATGAATCCTGCAGAGAATTCGACGTGTTCCACTCCCACTTGTGCCTTTTTCGTATAGATCCAGGTATCTTTGTGAGTCTACCCACCGCGGTGGATGTAATGGACGGACGCTCATTGGTGCTACGAGAGTTCGCTCAGCTCACATGTCGTTCTTTTATCTAATCAGTCCCGCTCAGATTTGAGATTGAGTTGGAAAGATTTACGTGTGAATCATGTTAATGTGAGAGGTATAGTGGCGATCGACCAAGCCAGATTCTGTTACCTAAAAGGCGTAGACATCGAGTGGTGCGCGACGGGCCTTTCCGTCCCATTCGGACTATTCCGTGCGAACCATTACCAGGAGGGTCGATATCATGAAAACATACAATGAGGGCCAAAGAACGGTGATATCTACTTCGAGCGAATACTTGAAAGGGGTATCAAATGTCAGGTCATTTCAGAACAAGACTAATTAAGAGGTATCATATCAAACGAGACGTCAGTCCCTGTTTTGCTTGCTATGGCTTGACCCTACGGAAGATGGAAATGGAAACTACCAACTCCCCATTATGCGTCCTGTAGACAACTTTTTTTTCTTCCTAGAAACGCATCATAGAATCATAACCGGCATCATACAGGCCCACAAAGCAAGACAAGACGTCGTCTCTAGCGGATTTTTCAAGTCTTTTGATTTTGCTGCAGTGTCTAATGTCACCTACCAGGATACATTTAGTTGGCAATGGCAGCAGCACGGCGGCGGTCACGCTCCTCAGCGATGGTGAGCTGTATGATTTGTTAGTACCTTATATTATACAACACACATAGAACGGATAGCAAACATACCTTGACACCCTTGCCCTTGGGGAGGGAGATCCAGGGCTTCTCCTGACCAATGACGAAGACGTTGGTCTCACGGGTGGCGAAGGTGTTGTCAACAGCATCCTTGACGTGGACGATGTTGAAACCTCCGTCGTGGCGCTCACGGTGAGTGACAACACCAACACGACCCATGTTACGACCACCGGTAACCATGATGACAACACCAGTGTCGAAGCGGGCGAAGTCAGTGATCTTGCCAGTGGCAATGTCAACCTTCACGGTGTCGTTGACCTTGATGGCAGGGTCAGGGTAGCGGATGCTGTAATTACAGTTGTTAGCATATACAATTCTACAAGTCGATCCTTACTGATCGCCAGCAAGTCGCATTCTGATTTTGAAGTTCTTTCGTCCTCCGCCGATCAACCAAAGCTTGGTCCAACGACTGATGGACGCGGAACTTGTGGAGAGTATGCACTCACGTTCTCGCATCGTGCGTAACCAAGAATGGGATCCCGCCCTTGCCGAGCTGAACACGCTTGACCTTGCACAGCTTGTATTCGGCCTCCTCAGCCTGGATACGGTGGACGGTGAAACGGCCCTTGGTGTCGTAGATAAGACGGAAGTTCTCGCCGGTCTTCTCGATACCGATGACGTCCATGAAACCAGCGGGGAAGGTAGGGTCGGTGCGGACCTTGCCGTCGACCTGGATGAGACGCTGCATCATGATGGCCTTAACCTCACGGCCGTTCAGGGCGTACTTGAGACGGTTACGGATGAACACGATGAGGGGAAGGCAGTCGCGGAGCTTGTGAGGACCGGGGGAGGCCTTGGGAGCATAGGTTCCGGACATTTTGTCCAGGAGCCAGTGCGAAGGCGCACTAAGGCGCTTCTGGTGCTTGGTACTGTAGACATCGCTGTCAGTGTCGCGTTCTTTCGATTCTGTTATCCAACGATGACCATCCGCCCCCTTTAAAACGTAGATTTTCCAGGAGTGGTGCGTTCATTGGAAATCTCAATGAGAAATTGCAATGGTATACTCACGGTCCGCGAGGCATCTTGACTGCTTTTGTCGACTTGAACCCGGTTAGTTGTCGAAGTGTCCGAAGGAGAAAAACCAGACGAAGCCGAAAGTTGTCGAGTGATATCCGGTCCACTACGAAAACTCGCTTAGTGGAGTTTGTGCTTGTCCTAATTAGGACAATTAGGGCTAGGGTGTACAGTTCTACGCTAGTCCTGATCTAGGCCCGCTCCTTTTTGCTCCACTCTCCTGATTACATAATTAGAGGACTGGGGGGAACTTAGCACGTAGTATTGATACCATGCATCATCTGCTGCGGAGTATAAATTACCTCCTTCTTAGAGTGGTATCGAATGCCTTCTAATTACCTATTTACTCTAATCTAAACTCATTTTTTAATCTCAGATGTATCCCTTCAGAACCGCAATCTCCGCATTAATGATCGAAGATCCAGCAGCTCCAATGACCGTGTTGTGTGAGAGAGCAGCAAAGCGGAGGTCGAAGTAGCCTCCCTGGGCGCCTTCACGCACCCGGCCAACGCTAACAGTGTATCCGCCGCAGATGTCTCTGTCGAGTCTTGGTTGCGGCCTATCCGCCTCATCGAATACCCTAATCGCCTCCGTAGGGGCAGAAGGAGCTCCCAATTTCTGCGCTTCAGACTGGTATTCCCTCAGCGCCTGCACAACTTGTTCGGCGCTCGGTGCTGGACGGTTCTTAAATCTCAGCGAAACAAACGCCATATGACCATCGCTAACGTGGACACGAGTGCAAGTAGCTCCAACCCGAAGGCCAGCCTGCTCCTCGAAGGCGGTGGCATCTGCATTCACAGAACCCAAGATCTTCTGAGCCTCATTCTCGAGCTTGTCTTCTTCACCGCTAATGAAAGGGATGACGTTATCCAGGATGTCCATGCTGGGTACACCGGGGTAGCCAGCACCCGACAAGGCCTGCTCAGTAAAGACTTCGACCTCTTCAACAGGGCCAAATTTGGCCTGGAGAGCTGCGAAAGGGATGACAATACCAATGACCGCGCAGTTGGAGTTGCACACGAGGAAGCCCTTCTTCAAGCCGAATTCTTTCCTTTGGTGAGGGATCAAATCGAAGTGATGAGGGTTGACTGTTGGCACAACGAGGGGAACCAAGGGGTGTTTGCGGTAGTTCTTTGCGTTCGAAAACACGGGAATCTCAGCCTTGATGAACTCCATTTCTAGAAAGATGACGGTTAGCAATAACCCTTCCAAGTAAGGGCATCTCACATACCAACTTCACCCGCGATATCGCTGTTCAGACCAGAGAACACAAGATCACAGTCGGCGAATTGAGAGGCTTTGCAATCCCGGAGAACAAGGTTGCTGAGCTTCTCAGACATAGCCGCAGTCTGTTTCCATCTTACGGCGTCCTTGTAGGCCTTGCCGGCAGAACGCTCCGATGCACCGATGGCATGAAGCTCTAGAAAAGGGTGATCGGCGAGCAAGAGAATAAACCTCTGGCCCACAGAGCCTGTGGCACCGAGGACACCTATTTATCGTCAACATGATGTACCATAACAAAACAGGAGCTAATTCCTCGTACCGCACTTCTTCTTAGGATATGATGCCATCTTGATCGAAAATAGATGAGTCAAAGTGCCGACCTAGCGCCACTGATAAGCCGAGAACTTCAAGAGATTGATATAGAGATCCTCAATAGTTCCAAATAATTGGGCAAACAACCATTGATATCCATTGGAAACGAATTACTCACCGGCTCAACTATGAAAGAGGGGCTTAAAGAAGGATACTTGTGGTATGACTGCGATATCGCTTCGGAGTTAGTCACTTGCCACGATATGATGAGTCAGCCCCCGCCCTGGCCTAAAGCACAGTAGACAAATTTTTCTCTTCATTGCCATTGGACAGACAATCTATGAAATTCCCCCCAATCAATCTTTACTCTGTAGGGCGGGGGTTTCCATTTACATTTTATTTTCTTGTCCAAGGTCTATCCATACAGGTCACGGGTACTACTAAGTAGTAGTACTCAACGGTAGGTACCTATGTACATATGTCTCCATAGAGTATTCTATTCCAATGAAGATTACCTGGAAACTTTGCACTTCTATTTTCTATAAATCACCGTTCATCCTCAAAGTCAAAAATCTTACCGGGGTTCAAGAGCCAATGCGGATCTAGAGCTACTTTGAAGCTGCGCATAACATCAATGGTCTCTGGGCCAAGCTCTTTCTGAAGGGACTTTTTCTTGCCCAGCCCAATACCATGTTCGCCCTACTTTGGGGTCAGTCGTACGCATTCGTCGTGGATCAAGCAGGGGATACGTTACAGTGCAAGAACCCTCCATCTCAAGAGCACGATCAACCATGTCATAAACAAACTTCTCTACACGCTCTACCTCCTTTGGGTCCTTGCGATTGTAGAGAATACACGTGTGGAAATTTCCGTCACCGATATGGCCGAGGACACTTGCGAAAATCCCAAGATCATCCAATTCCTTTTTCGTGGTTTCTGTTGTCTTTAGCATACGGCAAGAAAGCCCTCCTTACGCAAGAACGTACCAATAATATCAGGAAGTCTTGAAATTGGCACAGAGACATCAGTAGACCATACTTGCGAGCCTTCCTCTTTTAACGCTAGCATGCTCCACAACGACTGTTTTCGCGCCGACCATAAATCGTGCGCCTCCCGCTCATCTCGGGCAAATTCAAAGGATTCGGCATGGTTCTTTTTCGCCAAATCTTTGGTTAAGTTAACGCTATCGAGAACACCAGCGCTTGTGCCAGAGAACTTGAAAAATAACGAGGGTAGCGTTTTCCAGCTTCGCCCCGTACCGCCAGCACGGTTAATAACGTCCATCTGAACATCGTCCAAAATTTCCATACACTGTACAGGGATACCTTTTCGTATGAGCAGCATGGCAGTAGACGCAGCGTCACGCATTGTAGGAAATGTGACGACACCGACACGAGTTTCCTCTGGGATCGGTGTCAATTTGAGAGTCGCCTCGGTGACTATACCAAGCGTTCCCTCAGACCCTACAAACATGCCTGTCAAGTTGTAGCCAGCAGAAGTCTTACGCGGACGTCTGCGCGTCTTCACGATACGCCCATCTGCCAGAACAACTGTAAGGTTAATGACCCAATCTTTCATTGTACCATACCTCACTGCATTGGTCCCACTGCAATTGGTCCCAATCATTCCACCGACCATCGCTGAAGGGCCGGGATCAACAGGAAAGAAGAGGCCAGAGTCCTTAATTTTTTCGTTCAACTCCATCCATTGGATGGACGGTTGGACGACCACATCCATATCGTCTTCGTGAAGCTCCAGTATTTTGTTCATTGAGCCAAAATCAATCGTTAGGCCACCATGGACAGCAGAGAAATTGGCCTCAAGACTGGAACCTCCCGAATAGGGAATCATTGGCATTTTGTATTTGTGACAAATTTTGGCAATCTCCGCGACGTCCTCCGTGCTCTTCGGATACGCGATAGCAACAGGGAACCGGTCCGCGTTGACACTAGACCACTCTGAGAATCCGTGTACCTGAAGGTCATCCTCATCTGTGCTAATAGCCTCATCGCCCAACTTGGCTCTTAATTCGACAATGGCCTAGTGGTACAGGAATCATTAGCCAAACGCATCTTTTATACACCGCAGCATACACATCGAAGAGTAAATCTGTGAATGCTCCCACCTTCTTAAGATCTTCTGTAGATCCATACTGAGGTTGCTTCAGACTCTCCGGTTGGGGCTTATTGTTTAAGGTTGCGTAGGCGTAGCTGAGTCCGGCGGCCAGGGCAGAGACAAGGAGTGTTCGACTCGCGGTCCAAGGATTTGATGAATCAGTAGGAGGCTCGGGTTTTGCAGCATCCCCACGTTTTTCACGATCATTGCCGCTCGAGCTTGAGCTATTCAACCGTGCGACCCTCGAGCGTTGACAGACTACCGGCTGTGGGAGTGTGGGTCGGCGATGGAGTACGTGGGTATTTGCGGGGAAACCCCGTGGCAGGCGGGAAAGTGCTCTCATGCCTCTGAATTGAAGTTGAAAGCAACCGCGGGTATGGTAATAAGAGAAAGCTAGAGGATGCCCAATTTTCAAAATCAATTTCCCTTGCTATGTCTCGGTGAGGTACTGCGACAGCTTTATACGGCGCACCTGACTGCCCGCTCTGGTAAAGCTCATACGCCATCGACACTAACAATGAGGAGTACCTAGTAGGATCGGATATCGGCCGAGTTGGGGTAGTAAACAAAGAACCTGTACTTACGACTGAGGCCTATAAAGACCCATTGCTAACTCGGTTATCATCCTTCATGTTCCTGAAACTCTCGGACTCAAGTCCGACAGTGCGGAATTCATCCCACACTCGAATGCTTGGCAGGTACTAGGTGCAGAGGTGTGTGTTCCTAAACTGAGAGGACCAGGTGAGCAATTATCACGTGACATTTAACCAATTGGGTGCCACCAAGACATCTATATGTGACTCCCATTGGCCATAAATCACGTGATAATTGCGCACCTGGTCCTCTCAGTTTAGGAACACACACCTCCGTACAGAGTAATCCAATGGACCCCCACATGTAGGTGCATACCTAGGAAGCTGTCCTTATCATGCGAACTTGTCTGAAATATCGAGATATATACATACTCTACTTGATTAGAGAAAATAATTTGATGGTATGATGAGAATCCCACACAATTAAAATTAATGGACATATAAAAATGCATATTGTATACAAAATCCTGACTTCAAGACCCTACAAGTACGGATTACCAAAGAGTTACTATCTGCTTCCACAGCTGATTTTACATGTCCTTGAATAGGCACTATGTAGTACTGTGACGCTTTATACTTGTTGATTTTAACTCCCTTTACTTATTTACACTAGTTCTCTAACCGCCTGGTCTACGCCGTAATGTATGTATGTATAGATGGAATATATCGGATTAGATAGTTGGCGGGGCAACGGCACCCGTACACATTCATCGTTTTCCTTCTCTCCACTTAACACGCTGGGCGGAGTGTTCCAGAATCAGACAAACGACCTCGTGGTTGACCAGAATAGATTGAGATACCCACTGGCAACT